ATTTATTTCCTTATTGTCTTGTTTATTTGTTTTCTTGTAGTCAGTGCAGTTCTTTTTCCACGGTTTGCTAGTGGCCGCAATAACCTATTTTTTAAAACTAGGCCACAATAACCATGGGCTACATATTTACTGTAGTTAACATGGGCCTCCTACAGGCCGTGGAAACAATGGGCCTTCTACGGGCTGTATCATCAATGGGCCTTCTCCGGGTCGTATGATCGGTTGGCCAAACATTTGGGCCAATAATAGACCACATTATGGCTGTAAATGGGCTAGAGTTGAAATTGTCCATTCATGGGCCGACCATAACGGGTCGTCGTTAATCGGCTGTATTTGATGACACTATGAAAACGGCCCAACGTATTAACGGGCCACAAACGAGCTGACTGTAACCATGGGCTGAATTTGGCCCACAAGCAGAAAATGACAGTAACGGGCCGTAAGTAAACGAATACTGTAAATGAGCCCAAGAATAAATGGGCCCTGAGAAGGCCGAAAGATAACATGGGCTGGAAATGGCCCAATGGAATAATGGGTCGTTAATGGGTATAAAGTGATACACTATTCATTACGGGCCAGTTTCACCACGTGTCGTTAATGGGCCGAGGGTTACTAAGGGCCTCATATGGGCCGAAAGACGTCATGGGCCATACATGGGCCAGAAGTTAAAACGGACTAGAATTATATTGGATGGCCTGGATGATGCTACTGGGCCTAATTCGGATAGGCCGTAAACGGGCCCTGGGTTAGCGGGTTGTAAATGGGCTATATGCGAACATGTCGTTAACAGGCTTGCCGTGGGTCGGCCCGCCATAGGTGCTTTGGGTTCAATGAGTGGATGACATCTGTCCCAACCGTGAGCCAACACGTGTTTCCTCCAGCCAATGATGATTTTACACATGGAAAATCCCCAGTGGTCGGTGCTATTAACGGGTTATCGGATCCAAAACCAGATCCGATGGCTTAACGACGTTCCGTTACGGTGGATGCCATGTGTCGGTCACCCTTGACAAAAGCACTTCAGTGACGCGCGATTTATCGTCATGGAAGTGGACACTTCTGTGATGATAATTTTGGTAATGTCATGGAACACTTCTACGACAGCACGGGTATGACTATCTTGATTCTGTCATAAATTTGTCATGGATGTACATGCATGACAGAAAACGTGACCTACTGTGACAAACACGTATCATCACGGAAGTGTATTATTTTTGTAGTGACAGCGTCTGCTTGTGGTGCGAGCTGAACATCCATCAACCTCCTCACCAAGTGTAACCAGGAAGTCCATCGTTTCCCTACTAAAGCCCACCAGAACTGGATATTCAAGGGAACCGTCTGTAATAATGTAGCCACATAATCCTCCTTATGTTGCACAATATTATACAGCATAGGGTACTGTACGGCTAGCGGTGCATCGCCTAGCCAAGTATCCTCCCAAAACCTTGTTGTCGTTCCATCCCCAACAACGAATTTCACCCTATGGAAAAAAGACTCCTTTATCCGCATGAGGCCCTGCTAGAATGGTGAATCGGTAGGTCTTACAGTAACCTGAGCTAGAGTTTTATAGTGTAGGTATTTAGTCCGTAGAATTTGTGCTCACATACGTTCCGGCTCCTGACATAATCTATACAGCCATTTGCTCGACAAGCATTTATTTTTAATCTCGAGGTACTAAATCCCTAGACCCCCCCCCCCCTAGTCTTTGGGTCGACAAATAATATCCCGTCTTGCCAAGCGATATTTTGTCTTAACCTCGTCTGACTGTCAGAAGAAACGTGATCGATAGAAATCTAATCTCTTTCGTACCCCTTTAGGTACCTCAAAGAAAAAAAGGAGGAACATCAGCATACTAGTCAATACCGAATTAATTAGCACTAACCTCCCTCCATAAGACATAAGTTTACCCTTCCAACAGCCTAGTTTTTTTCAAATCGATCTTACATTTCCACTCTTTGTTAGTTAACTTCCGATGGTGAATTGGAATACCTAGATAGTTGAAAGGTAGTGACCCCAGTTCACAACCGAACAACTGTCTATAATTCTCTTGTTCCTCTTTTGCCATACCAAAGCAAAATAATTCACTCTTGTGGAAGTTAATCTTCAGACCTGACAGTTGTACAAAAAGGCACAAAACTAATTTTATATTTCTCGCTTTTACAAGATCATGCTCCATGAATATGATCGTGTCGTCAGCATGTTGTAGGATGGAAACGCCCCCATCCACCAAATGAGGGATGAGTCCACCTACCAGGCCTTTCTCCTTAGCCCGACCTATGAGCACCGTCAACATGTCTGCCATAATGCTGAACAGAACATGGGACATCTAGTCACCTTGTCGTAGGCCTTTATGCATCTGGAAATAAAGACCAATGTCATCATTCACCTTAACCCCGACACTACCTTTTTAGACAAATGAATCTACCTGATCCCTCCATGCCCCGTTGAAACCCTTCATGCGCATGGCTTGCTGAAGGAATGGCCATTTGACCTTATCATATGCCTTCTTGAAATCCACCTTGAAGATAACCCCATCTCATTTCTTCGAGTGGATTTCATGTAAAGTTTCGTGCAAGACAACAACCCCTTCCAGGATATGTCTTCCAGGCATGAAAGCGGTCTGACTAGGATGCACCACCAAAAGGGCAATCCGTGTCAATCTATTAACAGCCACTTTCGTAAAGATCTTGAAACTCACATTCAAAAGACATATTGGTCTGAATTGCTCAATTCGAATCGCTTCCTCTTTCTTTGGTAGCAACGTTATGGTGCCAAAATTAAAATGAAAGAGTTGCAGATGGCCGTTAAAGAAGTCATGAAACATAGGCATTAAGTCATCCTTCACTATATGCCAACATCTCTTATATAATTCCACGGGAAACCCATCCGGTCCCGGTGCTTTATTTGGCTTCATCTGGGAAATTGCATGGAAAACCTCTTTCTCAGCAAAAGGAGCAGATAAAATCTCATTTTCATCTGATCTGGGCTGAGGTATATCTTAGAGACACCGCGCTATCTACCGGAGGCCCAAATAGTTGTTTGTAATACTTGGATATATGCAGTTTGAGGTTTTCATGTCCCACTACAGTTCCTTCATCTTGCTTAAGATGTATGATTTTTTTTCTATGTTTGCCATTAGCAATCATATGAAAAAACTGAGTATTGTCATCACCTTGGACGACTTTGAGCACCTTAGCTCTTAAAGATATGATTGCTCGTGCTGCTGTGGTATGGGTTGCTGCTGAAATTATTGCTGAACCGGCACGTGCTGCGGGGTGTGATGGACATCATGTTGCAAAGCTCCACCCACATACTGTTGCTATGGCTTCTTCTTCTTTTTTGCATTTTTGAGCCGGCTGAGCCACAGGCCCACAGCCCCACTGGAGTTGCTTTTACTGAGCAGCGAAAAACAAACAAACCATGTCCCAAGCACCCACGTGCCAAAGCTTACCAGCACAGGATAAACTGGGATGAGGTCACCTGTCTAGAGAGCGAATCACGAGCCCACCCCCACCGACAACAAGTCGATAGCACCCGGCTCAACCAAGCACGCATAAGTGCCCGGCCGCATGGACGCACCCGGCTGGTGAGGCCGGCCATGCAACCAGCGGCGAGTCTACTGGGAGGGCTTAAAGAGGCTCAAGTCTACCCTCTAAATAATAATATTTTTTTACTACTACTACTAGTACTTTCATCCCAGCTCAGTGGTAGTAGCAAACACACAACCCCACACATGCGCAGCGAAGAGGCACCACACACCAATGCCCAGCCTCTATCTACAGTAATCACTAGTCCATGTATTCTTAACTAATTTAGTGTCCAATGCAACTTATTTGCCAAAAAGAAGTGTACAAAAATGAGTATGCATGCATGTACTCGTCACACTGAACCTGAACATATCCCAGTTAATCTGAATGCAGAATACCCTTCCCTTAACTATTGTGATTGTAATCCCTCCTTCAACTTATATGGACAACAAGATGGGGTGATAATGATTATTTTGCAAGATAAATTCAAATTTTGATTCAAAATTTCATATATTAAAAAAATCCTAGAAAAAATCTAGTTAATACTGCATGTTTTCAGTAGTCATTTGGAAAATTCTGAGATTATTTTGACAACAAGGTTAGGACACCGTGTTTTTTTTCAAAAGAGAGCTTAGTTTTTTCGCTGTTGACTTTAGCCTGCCCTTCATTTTTTTTCCTAGATTCGCCACTGCATGCAACGCTCACACGCCGAGCCGGGTGCACACGCGTACGTGTGTTCTCTTCAAGTAATGCTGGTACTGCAGAGTAACCTATGTACAAAAATTTGACACAAATATAACACTAAATAGCCGAGGTAGCAAGGATGATAATCTACAAGGCAAAGTTGAGCTGCAGACTAGACTTTAAATTGCTTATCTGCTCTTGAATTGATCCTTGGAAAGGCATCCATCCTGAGCATAAGTATTGCCAGCATTTGTACGGAGGATCTCTGGTTTCGATAGTGAAATCTCCACGGAACACACACGTGTAGTCAGGTAGATACAAATTTTTGCTCTGCAACATTTCTCTTGTATTCAGGAGGCGATGTAATAATAATAGCCAAAAAATATTGTGTGCTTCTTCTGGCAGTGCAGAGCGGGGATAGCATCACGATGCCCAGTTCATATTCTTGTTCATGCTTTATCAATCTGTAACAAACTCAGTAACCAGAAAAAAGAACAATTTTCTAGATTTGCTACATGTATTGGGAGACCAACTTAATTTTCTACAATGCCAGAGGAGATTAAGGAAGAAAACTTGACGAACAATTGTCCATACGTATGCAAAGTCTGACCCACCTTAGTTCAAGCAAGTGAACTAAATTTTCAGAAGTCACATAGAGTACCCCCAAAGGGTACCCCCATTTGCACCCCTATTTATCCCAATATATAGATACAACAGAAAACGAACTCAAGAAATACAGTAGAGAAAAAAGAAAAGAATTCTGTCAGGCAGTTGAATGATTTCGTTTTATCATTTCCATAACTCCTCCATTGGAAGTCCACGCTCTGCAGCAACGTCTGAGAACTGTCTCATCATCTGTGTCGCCTTGACGGTAGCCCTTGCATTGTTGAGGGGATTCTTGCTTCGCAGCTGCTTCCCAAGAGCATTTTCAACTCCAGCCATCTCCAGCACAACCCTCACAGCTCCACCTGCAGTGACACCAGATCCAGGGCAAGCAGGCCTCAGCATGACCTTTGCTGCTCCATAGTTCGCCTCAGCTCTGTTTGTGGTACAAGAGTAAATAAACAGGAAACAGTTCTCAGAATTGCTACAAACGTTCAACCTTATTGTAGATAGACTAATAGAGTGAGTTGTTCAACAGGAAGAGGAGAAAAATGGGTTCATATTACTGTAACAACAGAGCACAGGCTTACAGTCATATATTTCTACGTGAACAGCTAGTGAGACCAAAGGCTCTACTTACTTTTGGAATACTCCTATCTACTGCAATTATCAGATGAAAGAAGAATTCCTAGAAATTCAACGTATTGTAGATTAATCAAATACTTCCTCTGTCCCAAATTATAAGACTTTTTTGGTAGTACTACATAACAGATATGGTGCCTCTGCGGTATAAGATACACAATTTATAGAAGTTAGAAAGTACAACAAACATAACCATATTTCCAAATAGAAACATGCTATGTACTCCTATCCTATGTATTAGCAATTCCACAATATCTATAAGCTATGTCTCTTCAATGGAGCACAGTTCATGGTAAGGAGCAATCACATCAGATATATTTGTCCTGTGCTTAGAGAATTGTCAATTCGAAGGGGAGCCTTGGCACAGTGGTAAATCTGCTGCCTTGTGACCATGAGGTCACGAGGTCACGGGTTCAAGTCCTGGAAACAGCCTCTTACAGAAATGTAGGGAAAAGCTGCGTACAATAGACCCAAAGTGGTCGGACCCTTCGCCGGACCCTGCGCAAGCAGGAGCTACATGCACCGGGCTGCCCTTTTTTAGAGAATTGTCAATTCGGAAGTCGGAACACATTCCGGCATATATTCAAGATGCGGGATACAATCGTAGGAAGATGTTGATGACCCAATAAGAAAGGCATTTGATGTCTCGTAATACTCTGATCATATATGAGGAAAAGAAGAGAGAAGAAAAAGGATGTATTGGCTTCCGCGAAGATACAGCTTGACTATCCAGCTCCAGCATACTGCAAGAACTTTACTACCTCTCTCCATGCTTACTTACCTTTCTATTCTCCACAGACGAGGTGAAGTCAAGGCAAACCAGATAGTTATTGTGGTGTTCGAGATGCGCAGCAATACTAGTAGAGATAGCAACGCCATGAAGCGACTGCGCTAACTAGGTTAGAACAATCCAATTGATTATGCTGGAAAGCCTGGAGCGAATTCTTATTTCAAGTCAAAAACTCCTCTAGTGTCCAACATAAATATTTTTTCTCAAACATGCTTTCTTTGATTACCTGTACAAGCCAGCAAAGTAAAAATCTACTCCAGCAGCGTGACAATGCACTAAAACACACCATGACATTTTTAGATGATGACACAACACTTTGTGACAGAGCCAGAAATTTCAACTAAGAAATTCTGAAGGTTTACAATTGGCTCAGGCAAATAGGAAATTATTCAAAACACATGTATGAAAGCAAATCTGGAGTAACTAACTAAAAGTTGAATTGATCTTCATTATTTGAAACTTCAAAATTATTGTGTAAAATTTTCTAAATCATGCAATGCTTGACAGATGGAAGATGAACAATATTTATCTAAAACATGTTCTAAATAATAACTCATGAAAGGTTTGTAAAGGTCATGCTGTGCTATGCGAAAAATCACTCAATCAATATTCAATACCAACAGAGAAATTAAAATACGCTATTGTAAAGGTTTTCCATTGGACCATCGAAACAAGAGGAACATTGAAAACACATATGTCATATATTGAAACAGAGGTATTTACTCAGGATTGGGATTTGCTTCAATATTTAGTGCTTCCAAATTCTTGTCCAATGGCAAGATAATAAACACTATTAAGCTCATGCATAAAATCTATATCTATACTACGAGCTGAGTATGATACTTTCCATCTCATCCATCGAAAAATAATTATTGTGATTTCATAATTCTCATCTAACAGTCGTCCAAAAGTTAGGCATATGAAATGATTTGCAAGTACCGGAATGTGTGGACGGTTTCATAACTCTCATCCAACAGTCGTCCAAAATCTATTTGGATGATTGTTATTATACTGGTCGCACAGTGGTCCTGCAAGCTGTGGCAAATCCGCAAATGAGAGTGCCCTGTGGTGTTCGGCTGGAGCAGTGGGGCTCCATGAGTTGCTCATTCACCCTAAACGTGTAACCCCATGTTCTGGGGGCTGGCGTTTACCTTTTCATGCGTCATGCCGTGTGTTTGGTTGTGTTCTGCAGATGAGTCGGGTGTGTTGGGTTGAGGGAGTTTTCTCTCTCTTCCTTGTACATTTTTCTTTCTTCTTAATGAAATGATACTCAGCTCTTCTGCGTGTTCAAGAAAAAAAAATCTTGTGCATGTGTTTTATTTGCAGGCTGAATGTTGAGGTATGTGTGGCTCAATTTACGCTTGCTAACAAGTGCATTGCACGTATACGATTGCAAGTTTAAGCTAATGGCAGTAACTGAATCAATCACCATTAGCTCTGTATATAACAAGAAAAATTATCCATGTAGGTAGAATTCCAGGAATGCATGCCAGAGCTTAACTATTGCTGAGTTGTCCAAGAATGACACTCCCTAGTAGGCAACTAATTAGTAATAACACAACAATTGCATCTGCAATGTGTGGTAAATTGAGAGAATGTTACGTTTTCCATGGAACTCGTTCTACGAATTTCTCAGGCATGTGTTAGTTGATACTTGATCACCACTGTTGTGGCTTGCCACAATTTTGCCTAAGCGCTTAACTGTGGGAATGTTCTGCCACAGTTTTGCCTAAGCCTGCTTAGTTGTGCCAAGTAAACCTTGAACCAAACAAACTTACGGCCTCTTTGATTCAAAGGATTTCTAAAGAAATTTTGGAGGATTCTAATAAGTAGGATTTTTTTCATGCGTGGGTTGGTTGATTAGTAGGGTTACAATCCATAGTAATTTTTCCATACGATTTAATTGTATTAGCTTTAATAGGGAACTTTTCATCACTTCATATACTAATCCTGAATGGAGGCAACAAATGTCGGCTTACGTTTCAAAACAGGTGTTGGGGTTATGGTTAATGATGACATCCGTCATTATGTCCAAACCCAGAAGGGCTTGAGGCAAGGTGACGCTATGTCGCAAATATTCTTTAATATGGTGGCGATATGTTGGCTAATTCTCAAAGCAATGGCTAAGGAGGATGGTCAGGTTGGGGTCCTTATCACTATCTTGTCAAGGGGGTTGTGTCCATCCTCCAGTATGCGGATGACACGGTCATTTTTATGGAACATGACCTTCAGAAAGCAATTAATATGAAGTTGATCCTCTGTCTTTTTGAATAACTTTCGAGTCTAAAAATTAATTTGCACAGAAGTGAGCTCTTCTGTTTTGGTATGGCCAAAGAGGAGAGTCAGTATAGGCAACTGTTTAGTTGTGAGGTGGGGTCCCTTCCATAAATACCTCAAAATTCCCATTCACCACCGCAAGCTCACTGACAAGGAATGAAAAATAATTGAAGACTGCTTTGAAAAAAATCTTAGTTGGAAGGGTAAGCTCTTGTCATATGGAGGACGAGTTACCCTCATCAATGTTGTTCTTACTTGCCTACCGATGTCCGTGCCCTCCTTTTTTGAGATACCCAAAGGGGTGCTTAAAAGGCTAGACTTTTACTGGTCTAGGTTCTTCTGGCAATGCGAGGAGCAGAAGCGAAAGTACAGACTTGCTAAATGGGACATTTTGTGTAGGCCGAAGGATTAAAGTGGATTCGGTACTGAAAACCTCAATTAAAAGTATGTGTGTACTTACCACCGAGGCCTCCTTTGTGAGCACGATATTGTAACAGGTTGGGTATTGTAGAGCTAATGGAGTTTCACCCAACTAGGTATCTTCCCAAAAGCTCGTCGATTGGCCATCACCAACCTTTAAAGGATCCATTGGAAGTCAATATAGGGGCCAGACCTTTAAACATTCAATTCCGTAGAGATTCAATTGGTGAAAAATGGACTGAGTGGATCCATTTAGTTAGTAGATTGATGTCGATCAATCTAAATCAAATGCCAGATACATTCCAATGGAGATTGACTTCGAATGGGGTCTTCACCATGAAGTCCATGTATGCGGAGCTTATGAATTCTGGTCCGATTTTCGTAGGAAGCATATTTGGAAAATTTAAGTCCCTTCTAAGATCAAAGTGTTCATGTGGTTTTTGCAAAGGGAGCTACGTAGTTCTTACCAAAGATAATCTTGCAAAACGTAATTGGCATGATAGCAAAAGAGTTGTTTTTGTCATCAAGAGGAAACAAACCATCATTTATTTCTGTATGGCCATTCACTACCTTGATTTGGCACACAATTTATATTACCTACAATTTACCACCACCAACGAGTATACCTGGTCTGTTTGGAAACTGGTTGGGTGGTATTCATCATAATACGATTAATAAGATGGTTGTGTGCATCGCTTGATACAGAGGCCGGGGTACTCCCCTTTTCAAAAGAAAAAAAAAACTATATCATTGAAGATGGCATTATCATTGCATTCCTGTGTTTTTTCTATTCCTGCATTTTAGAAATCATGTGAATGAAAGAAGCCCCACACCTCATGCAATTCAAGAACAACTAGCGATGTGACTGACCTGTGCGGGAAGGTGCAGTACTTGGTTAGTGGCACTGTAACGAGATTGCGGCGGCCGTTCATGCCAGCCTTGGTGATGGCCTCTGAGACTTCTTTGGCCTTGCCGACGCCAACACCAACGTGCCCCTTCATGTCGCCGACCACGACTAGGGCGCGGTAGGAGAGTTGCCTCCCACCCTTGACGACCTTGGTGACTCGGCTGACCTGCACGACACGCTCGCTGAACTCGTCGTTGGGGCGCTGGTCCCGGTCCATGTCGACGGGGTCCACCACTTTCACCTCGAACACGTTGTTCCCCATCAACGACTCGCCGCTGAAGGCCGGCCCGTAGAGCGACTCGTAGGCTGCTGCCACGTCCTCTGGTGATTCCGGCGGCAACTCGTCGAATGGCGCCGGCTCAATGTATCCCTCCGGTGGTGCCGCGAACTGAAACTCCGTAGAGGACACCGCCTCCGGCTGCGGCTTCTCGTCGTCCTCGTCCCCGAAGGCGGCTTCCGCAGAATCCTCCGCCTCCCCTTCCTCATCCTCTTCATGGTAGGAGGCCGAACCGTCCCGGGTGGAGAACATGGAGACAGGGAGCAGGAGGCGGCGGGAGGTGGAGATACGGGCTTTGGGGCAGAGACGGAGGCGCTGTTGAAGGAAGGAGAACAGTGCGGGAACAACGTGGGCGGCAGTGGAGGTGGTGGCCATCGCCATGGCTGTGGCGGCGACCGCCATTTTGGCAAGTTCTTCGGGTGATGCTCCGGCGAGGGGAGGCGAGGCCGCGAGGGAGGGGGAGGAGCAGAGAAGTGCTGGGGTGGCAATGTGGGAGTTGCTCGGCTTATCCTCTTCTGTTATCCGGTGTTTAATCCTCGAGGAATCTGGGCAGGGCTGCAAAATGAATCTGCCGAGCTGGCTCGCTCTTTCAACCATCGGCTCACGCGGGCCCGGTTGCTTGATCTCCACACAAGTTCTAATTCTGTCCCACAAAATCATCAATATGGAGTTCACGTTCCAAAAAAAAATTACCTGTAAACATTCTGGTATCTGAATAAAGCTTGGCGAGATTGTCTAAAAAAAATCAATATAGAGTTCACGTTTCAAAAAATGAATCTAGCTGCAAAATTAACGGAGCGCACTTCATAAACAGCATCATACCTTCATTTTTGGAGGTTGGGTGGAGCTGTTTCGGAGCGCACATTAGATATAATCGGACGTTGTAGAGTGAAGTTTTAGCTCCCAGATCAGAATGCCCTAGTCTGCCTCGTCAATATCACTCCGCCATGCCAGGCTTCCTCCCTTGGCTCAAGCGCCTCTTCCGCGAGCGGCTTGGCATCTCGGAGGTTCGCTTTGCCGGCTGCACTACGGGCACTGTCTTCGTTGTCTTCCTTCGGGAGGCGGAGCAGGCGGCCGCCAGAGGGCGAGCCCTATTGAAACCTGCTCCCACCGCGTCGATATCCTCACCCACAACGCCGGTGACAACTCCTTCAGCTTCGCCTTTCGCCACATTGTTAGCTTGTCGCTAGAGAAGATGCCCCTTGAGTTGTGGGATCGGAGGGGCGTCTCATCCAGCGTGGCTAGCTTTGCTTGCTTGCTTGGCATTAACCATGTCTGCCTCCATGGGAATGACTTCTCTTGCATCCTCCTGTTAGCCAAGGTCGAGGCTCTTCAGCACATCCGCACCACCTCACCTTCCACCGCATTGACGGTGTCGGCATCTACGCTGACATTCCCATTAATGAAGTTTGGGACGTGGCACGCATGTTGGGCTCCCCCTCCTCCCCTCCTCTACCACCCAACGCCTTCCCCCGAAGGGCGGTGACCATTCCTCTCCATGCGGGTTGTGTCGTGGCCATGCCAACCCACGCGCTACGCGGTCGTCAACGAGAGCATGTCGGACCGCACCTTCCGCGCTTTCCAATACCCACACCTAGCCACTTTTGGCGATTCCATAGTCGTGCTAAACGTCTCCGCCAAGCCTAGATTCCAGAGATACGCCACCTTCGCCATTCCCACCATCCAGGAGGTTGCTCACGAGGACGAGGACCGCATGTGCCTTAAGCATGTCCTCATGGCAGTGGACGCTAGGCTGTCGCACACCATAGTGGCCTTCGATGCCGATACACTCACCTTCACCTTCTCCGTCAAAATGAGCAACTGTCGTTCGGCCTCTGGGGTAGTCCTTGCAGGGCAGGCCACCATGGACCACGACCGCTTTCTTTGCTTCAATCTCAACCTGGGACAGATTGAGCATCACCGTTGGCGCTCCATTTTATTCAAGCTCTGCCCTAAAACCCTTGCAGGCGAGTTATGCTCCAGCAACTTGCCTCTGCTGCCCTCGATCAAGTGTAAGCATCCACCAAAAAACCATGTACCAAGCTCTCTAGTGCCAGATGTTGGGCCCCTCCTCGCTCTCGTAGGAGAGCACACCTTTCCCTCGCTCAAAATGCCACTAGCCCAAATCAGGGTGCAGGGCCATCAAGTGTTGAACTCCCATCCTATCTACACAAGGCCCATCAAGTCGGGTCCCAGGTCCCTTTGTGGGCCTACTCCCAACCGAATTCCTCTCCCCGGCCGCCTGCACTAATCTTGAGCATGCCTCCTATGCTATCCTACCCGCAGTAGTGGCCACTAGATTCTGCAGTTGTCGCGCACCCGCATCTGAGCCCGCCGCCACCAAGCGGCACACCTCCCCCACCCTACAACTTTTTTAACCGACAACCATCACTATCCTCGACGACAGATCTGCCGACTGTGGAGCAAGCTCAAGCCTCTGCTGACTTGTCTGTTGAGGATGCCCCTCCGGCGGCGGTGAACGTTGCCGCAAGTGCTATGGCCACCTCCCCTTGACACAGCACGCGCATCCAGAAGATGTACGACGGGGTTCATCTAGGCTCCATGGAGCGCGCCTCCAAGCACAAGGCCTCGTCCAACCCGTTTGACAGTGGGGCAGCCCGTCCCCGCTCGCCAGGACAGAAGCGAGGAAAGACTCAGAAGGCCACGGACGTCCTTGAGATACCGTCTCTGTGACATGCCAAGGCCGCTCACTCGAGGCAAGGCCAAGCTGCTTGCTCGATTTTGTGATCTGAATGAAGAGGTGGTGTTCGTGGACGCCTCCCTCCCTGCTGAATCGGGTGACACCTCTGCCTCCTCTGAGTCCAACAGATCTACCCATGGCTAGATGCCCCTCCAAAATTCTACTTTCTCGGGTTCTCTATAACTGCAAGATGCTCGAGGCCTGCTCATGTTGTAGTCTCTCTGTAGTAGTCTGTCATCTTAGTGTGTGGCCCCTTGGGGCGTTATATCTGCATTGTACTGCATGATTCCTGTTTCCCCACTATGCATCTTGCATCATGAACCATGTAAGCTCTCATGAGCACTTTTGTTATCAAGAAATCGTCTTATGCTATCTTCTTTCCATTCTTACGCCTCATGTCACCCAAGATATCTCTCTCTGTATTTATGAGGATCTCTAGTTGGAACGTTAGGGGGCTTGGCGATACTGACAAATGCACTCTAGTCAAAGATGCTCTCTTGGCTAGTCGATCGTCTGTGGTTTGCCTGTAGGAATTAAATCTGCGGCAGCTGGACATAACGAAGGCGGCCACCTTCCTACCTACAAGCCTGAGGTTGTTCATCTACATACTGGCGAGTGGGTACTCAGGTGGGCTCGTCCTTGCCTGGGACGACAGTGTGGTCCAAGGCACGGAGATCGCCAAGAACAGGTTCTCACCATGAAGTTTCAGTCCAGAAGCAACAACGACAACTTTGCTCTATCCATAGTATATGCCCCTTGTGAAAATGAAGACAGACCGGAGTTCTTTTATTCTATGAATTAAGTGTCTCAGGTGCTAGCCGGTCCATGGATTGTACTGGGAGACTTCAACATCCCATGAAAAATCTCAGGGAAGGAAGAATTGGTCTCTAATGGACAATTTCAACTCCTGGATCCATCAAAATGCTCTGGATGATATTGACATTACAAACCACACCTTCACCTGGTCAAACAAAAGAGTGGAGCCAATTCTTGTCAAGTTGGACAAAATTCTTGTCAATGCAGACAGGAGCCTGATTTTTTGGACACTATGACAGTTGTTCTTCCATCAACAAATTCAGACCATGCCTTGATTGGTGTGGATTTCTACAAAAAAGCACCCAAGTGCCCTTTTTCAGGTTCGAAAATCACTGGCTGCACGTACCAGCAATACGGGACCTGGTTACGACTTTCTGGCAAAGAGGCTGCAGGCCCTTCGCCTCGGCTTCGTCCCACCTCAACTTCAAGTTCAGAAGGTTAAGGGCGGCAATCAGAAAATGGAACAAATAAAGCACGCCCCTGAAGTTGACTATGGACAATTGCAAGCATGTGGTACAGTTTTTAGATGCAGTGAAGAGAGAAGACACCTGTAACGCCCCGAGACCGATGTGCCAGGTGTCGTGCAGTTATTCGCCATCGTTGCCATGTCATTTGTTTGCGTGTGCATCTTATCATGTCATCATGTGCATTGCATCATCATGTTTTCAAAACTTGCATCTGTCCCGGCCTCCTTGTTCTCTCCGTTGTCCGTTCTGAGCCCAGACACACTTGCACGCGCCCGCGGCATGTCCGAAATAGTTTTTTATAAGTGGCCGGAAAAATGTTTTCGGAATGGGCTGAAAGTTGGCGTGCGGTCTTATTATAGTGTAGGTAGACCGCCTGTCAATTTTCGTCGCATTCGGAGTTCGTTTGATAGCCTAACCGTTAAACTATAGCGACATTATAGTCGGTCTAACGTCAGACGTTTTCGGTCTCCGGAAACAGTTGCCGGGCTGCACCCCTCTCCTCTCATCTCAGCCCAACCTCTCTTCACAGCCCACTAGCCCACCTATCTAACCCCCCTCTGTTCCAGGTCGTTCGATCGAGATCGAACGGCTCCGAAACGGACTAAAACCCCCAACCCTAGCTCCTCCTGCTATTTATAGCAGCCCCCCCTTGCCATTTTGGGCCTTCCCCTTCCTCCTCCTCGAAATATGCGCCCCCAATCATC